TTTACGTCACCGACCAACACCCGGTGGGCTGTAGCCCAGCGCAGCAAAACTCAGCCGAATCTACGTCTGCATTCTCTGACCTCTTTGATGATCTGTACCTTGTTGCTGGTCCAGATTCGCAGTTCAGCAACACGGCTGTTCTCACCAGCCTCTTTCAACCTGTCTGGCAGGGCCAGTTTGGTGGGTCTAGCGATGGTTCGAGCGGCAATGGCTCTGATATTACACCCTCGCTTGCCAAGGACTTGCACCTTGTCGATTCCCTGTCCGCTTTCAACGACTTCATCGAGCAGAAACGCAAGGATGTCAAACCCGCTGGAATCTGGCTCGGAGATGCCAACTCGCTGCCGACGATTGCTTATGAGGCTGACTTAGGAGACGTTTATACGTCTATCTTTGGTCAAAATGCTCTTGATATTATGTTAACCAACAGGAGTATCGCTACGGATTATGCGCCGTTCGACGTCCCGTGGGCACCCTCGACCGGAGATTCCTTGCAGTTGATGGTCTACATTGGGTTGGCTTTCTCTGCGTATCCCGCTTTCTTCGGCCTCTATCCAAATATCGAGCGGCGGCGAAACGTGCGAGGTTTGCAATATTCAAACGGAGTCCGATCTCTGCCGCTGTGGTTGGCCTACACGATTTTCGACTTTGCAATCGTCCTGGTCTCCTCGGCCATCGCCACTGCCATATTTGCCGCGTCTTCAGACGTGTGGTATCAGGTCTCTTATCTCTTCCTCATTTTCATATTGTATGGCTTAGCATCTACTTTGCTGTCTTATGTTGTCTCGTTGTTCTGCCGTAATCAGTTGTCGACCTACGCATTTTCAGCCGCTGGCCAAGCCGTGGGTTTTCTGATTTACTTGATCGCATATCTCTGTGTTATCACCTATGCACCAGTCCAGTTGGTCGATCAGTCCGTAATCGTTGTTCATTTCGTCGTGTCTGCATTCATCCCCGTCGGATCCCTTGTTCGAACCCTGTTCGTGGCTCTCAACCTCTTCTCGGCGACCTGTGACGGCGATGAAATCCAACGTAACCCTGGTGCTATTACAGCCTACGGTGGACCAATTCTTTACCTAATAATACAATCCGTCCTCTTGTTCGGCTTCCTGCTATGGCACGACAGTGGGGCGGGGCGCACTCTTATCAATCGCATCACGCAGAAAGCCATCACGCCTGGTGGAGATCCAGCCGCTTCGGACGAAGAAGTTGCTAACGAGCTCGTCCGTGTCACGAGCACTCCACAGGAGACGGACGGTCTTCGAGTGTTACACCTTACCAAGACATTCGGCAAGAACATGGCTGTTGAGAACGTCACGTTTGGAGTTCAGCATGGTGAGGTTTTCGCCCTTCTCGGACCCAACGGCGCTGGGAAATCGACAACCATCTCGCTCATCCGAGGCGATATCCAACCAAGCCTCAACGGTGGTGACATCCTCGTCGAGAACACATCTGTCAGTCGACATCGCGCTGCAGCACGAGCTCATCTAGGCGTATGTCCTCAATTTGATGCCATAGACTCCATGACAGTGCTCGAGCACTTGCGTTTCTATGCACGCATCAGAGGCATACCAGATATCGATCACAACGTCCAAGCTGTCCTTCGTGCCGTGGGGCTCGAAGCCTTCTCCACACGCATGGCGCATGCCCTCTCGGGTGGAAACAAGCGAAAGCTATCGCTCGGTATCGCGCTGATGGGCAACCCGAGCGTGGTCCTTCTCGACGAACCATCGTCCGGCCTCGACGCGGCCGCGAAGCGCATCATGTGGGCGACACTCGGCTCCATCGTCCCCGGACGGTCCATCCTCCTCACGACTCACAGCATGGAGGAAGCCGACGCGCTCGCGAACCGCGCCGGCATCATGGCCAAGCGTATGCTAGCGATGGGCACGACGGACAACCTGCGCCAGCGCTTCGGGGACGCGCTGCATGTTCACCTGGTCAGCAAAACGGCGCCGCACTCTACGCCCGAGGAGATGGAGCGCGTGCGCAGCTGGATCCTGGAGACGTACCCTGGCGCTGAGGTCGAGCAGAAGACTTACCACGGGCAGATGCGCTTCTCGGTTCCCGCTAGCGGCGTGGGTGGCCGTGAGAAGAACAACGAAAATGAAAGCGGAAGCGGGAGCGGGAGCGCGGTCGGTCAGCTCATTGTCGATCTGGAGGAGCACAAGGAGGCCCTGGGCATCGAGCACTTCTCGTGCACGCCGACGACGCTGGACCAGGTCTTCCTGACGATCGTCGGGCAGCACAACGTCCAGGAGGAGGGCTACAACGAGAAGAAGAAGAAACCGTGGTGGAAGATGGGGTGGTCATGATGTGATGTAAGAAAATGAGAATCTCGCATGGTCTACATGGATCGGATATGGATACGTGTATATGTACGGGTTACCTAGAATACGAGGGTCCGGTGACGGGATATACCTGCATGGGCATTGGTATTGGATGGATAGATATCATGCATGGAATTGGCGTTCTAAAGGGTTGCGTCCAGAGCTTCGTGGCTCCGTGTAGTTATAGGCTTCATCTGAGGAGCATGGCGAGTTTACTGAGACTAATCGAACTCGATGTTGGTAACAGTGCTTTTGCTTCTTGCTGACCTGCCGCTTCGTGTTCTAGACTTTAGGTCGTAGCATGAAGAAGATTGTTCCAGCTGCCGGGTGAACGATAGAAATTATGAGCAGCCGTTCATTGGTACATAGCTGTCACGCAAAGCAAGCGAGAACGTGCGTATCTTCTATAGGATTATTAGTAGGCATAATTCTACTAATGTACAAGCATAGCGCAGCGTTTATAACACGCTGTCACATGGGCTTAGTCTAAGTATTGTGATGATGCATGAAACATGACCCAGACTAACATTCCAAAAATCGTATAAGCACTACATTCCCGTTTATTCCATCAGTGAACTGATTGATGTTCAGATTCGTTCGGTACTACCTAAGTGTCAACATACAGGATGAGTCCGAGTCTTGTGAATAGTCGTATAGGAGTCGAGGCATAATGCCATAAGCCTTAGTACCTCCTAGCTTCAGTATGCATTCCATTGTTTCCAATAACCAACAGACTACCCAGCCATCCAACTTTGTCCCTGAGGGGTTTGCGTCATGCAGACCGACCGCCAACAACAGACAATACCTTCGGGCTCATGATGTCGAACCACTACGCCACAATGCCTCAACGGGCAGATGCGCTGCAGGCTCAGTCCGTGGAAGCCGCAGCGTTGCCCGTTTCCCGGATGTCTCGACTCGAGGGCATCGAACTGCACATACGCAAAGACATCGTTGGCTCCGTGCAGGAAGATCACCGTGTGGGTCTGACCGGGCTTCTCGCTGGTGCCAAGGGAGAGCATCGAACTGCACATACGCAAAGACATCGCTGTCTCCGGTGTCGAACTGCACATACGCAAGGACATCGCTGGCTCCTAGTGTGGGGATACATATGTAGATAGACCAATTTGATGGCTAGCTACAGGTGAACAGTCGAACAGTCGAACAGTCGAACAGTCGAAGCCTGAGCATAGTATTGACTTTGTGACTGATCAATGAATTACAACAGATAAGTGCTTGATGTGGATTGTGGGACGTGTGAGAGACAAGTGTTAAGTAGTAACGGTAGGATGTATAAGTAAAGCTGATCAAACATTGTCGATGGCTTAATATATGAATGTGTTGTCACTGGTTCTACCAGGTGATGGTGAAAGTTGTTGTATGAAAGATGGAGGATAGACTCTTCCAGGAAATCCTGTCTCGGTATTTATGGTCCTCAGATAATACGTATTGCAGTCAGGAAAGACCAGACATGAGTAGAGATGTGGTATGACTGGCATTGACGACAGACTGAACTTAACAAGTTGGGTAACTACCTCTATCCATGGTTGTTTATTTACGTAGTCACTCTTCTCTATACCTTCTCTTCTGTCTTGGATATCAAGAGCGACCAGTTCTTCAAGACTGTCAAAGTGAGGTGGCTGGTACGATCTATGCTGTTCCTCCATATGTAGTCGAACCTCCCCTATAGTCTCTTCGACATGATCACTATCTAATACACTAATGATTGCTCTTCTTTCTAACAAAGACTATCGAGTGTCTATGCGTTGTATACACGGCAGCGATACTGATAGCCGCACGTCAAGTCCAGTGGGTGGATGCATTGGTGCCTTACAGTTAGTTGCATCAACAAATAGTCATATGTCCCTCTTACTTGGGTTATCACAGACCCTACCACGTCTAAGAACCAAGCAAAGCTACATAAATCATATAGGATTTTACGGCGTGGTTACCCTAACTATCGAACTGTTCAATTAGTCTCTCAATGATCCATACAGGTTTCCGCTTCAAATTTCGCTTCACGGGCCTTCCAGGTAGATAACAAACATTTCAAACCGAAGTCACAGTCTTCAGAGTTTATATTAGTTTCACACCCATTTCACTTTCTTGCAAAAAGACTGAGGCAAGTTTTCCTGGGTCTACACGTACAGTATGACCAGCACTGCAGGACGCGCGAGTACGTGTCGTTTACAACCGCATGTACCTTCTGTATATAGGCATTGACGTAGCACATGTAAGACTACGGGTATCTGCTACCTAAACAACGCACTAAGCCTAGGCTATGACGATTGCCCTAGGTGTCTTGGTCGGTCCAATCGTTCCCGCTCGACTATAAGTAATCTGAAAATTTTCAGAGAGGAAGGCAACATCGCTTTTCCCTTCTCCAGCATTAGGTACGCCTACCTCACTGAATAATGTTAACAAAATCATGTTGTATTGGCAATTGAATTTATTATTTCAACCATTGACATACGTACCATAGTGAAAAGCCAGTGTCTTTAGCTACAGCCGATGTGGCATTGCGATATTGGGACGAGGCGGTGACTTTAAGATGTGGAAACGATGAATGGCGAAGCTGAGTTTGACATATAATACATTTAACGAGAGCAGTTTTCACAAGCCGCATTCAGTAGAATGTCCGAGCTCCCAGAATGGTTAGCCCCGTCTCAAACCGGCCGAATGGTCTAGTGGTATGATTCTTGCTTTGGGTCCTAGGACAATTGCAAGAGGCCCCGGGTTCAAATCCCGGTTCGGCCCATTCTTTTTCAATTTTTCAACATTTTTCCTACGCGAATGTCCCTCTTCTCTTTCTTTCTGACATATATACAGCCTGTCAAAACCATCTGGTAGCATGACAGTTATGTTCCTTATGTTGACTTCATGTACTCACAGTACTTACATGTGACATGTGTATACCTATTTGTTTTAGTCAAGTTTGCCTCGAGGTAAACTCTCTTCGACTGGTGGCAACAAGCATCCTTTTTGGTCGAGGACAAGTCGCATCCCAACTGTAGGCCACCTTCTGTCGAAGTAAATGACGACTTCTACCTTCTGAGTGACAATTGCGAAGCCGTCTGGGATGGTCGAAGCTCCTATAACCAGGTTAAGGGAGATCTACTCTATTCCTTAATACACTAAGTATGCCTCGCTATCCATTCGAACCACGCTAGGTATCTCACGGCCTAATCATAAGCATCGTCATATTGCTTCGTGAAAAACAGCTATCTACCATTCAATTAGTACCTAGGTAATCGACAATTAACGGACTAATTATTCCATCATACGCATAAGAGCGATTATCATCTGGAGCGTTGTCCGAATGAAAAAGCCCCTGTAAAAATCGCTCGGTATAATCTGTAAAGTGATTGATAAATTCCACATGGAAAGAGTGGCAGTATGTTTTGCGGTATATTACTACGTGATGTAATTGCAATCTACTGGAGACTTCCTACTGACAGAAGTATCAACTGCCCGTATCTGGGAATTACCGGTATCATGTCCGCTTGCCTATGTGGTCCTCCAGCCATTCCGTAGCTAGTGCATCACCCTCGCCAGGCAAGTCAAAGTCCCCTGGGTCAGGTCCAACGTCACAAACTTGGACCCTCCTGGCTGCCTCGCCATCCCAACCTTCCAATTCGTCGTCCCATTCCCCGCGCTCCATGATTTCATATTTATTGATGCTTCTTCGCATCATTCCTGCGAGTTCTTCGGCATGGGTCCTGAAGTTGTTCCCCATGTGCTCCTTCTGCGAGGGCGGCAATTGCGGCGGTGTAGTGTGTAGAAACAGCATCTCGGGGATCTTGAGGGTCGACTCCCTCGGTGGGAAGACCAAGTAACTCTTTTGCGGTGGTTTTAGAGGCGTCAGAAGCTCGGCTCCGGATGCATGCGATGAGTCTGTCAACGCTGATGACGCAGATGGGATCGCCGAGGCATGAAACGACGGAGGTATAAGTAGCTTGGGCGTGCGGAAGAATAAACAAGAGCTCGCAAACGGGTCGAATAAGTTGTCTGGTCTCGCAAACAACCCCTCGGCGTGTTGTTTCAGCTCTTGACAGTCGCTTTCTTCGGGGAAGGACAGTATCTGCTCCAGAATATCGCCTGAATGTGGTTCGGGGTCCTCGCTGATGTGATAATCCGGCAGAAACATTGTCCAGTTGTAAATTCCATTGTATGCGATGCACCCACGGACCCCAAATCGGTGGTGCGGACGGGTCTCGGTCAGAGCGAGCGATGTCGCAAGTGACGCCCCGAGATACGAACCATATACGTATATATCTCGGCGCGTGTATGTTGAGGGGCTGAGATTGTCCACAATCCAACTATATGCACGGAGAGTGTCATGAATGGGAGCTGGCCAACTCAGATGGGAGTGTTCATTCTCCCCACTCTCATTAGGCACCGAGACAGGTAAGCCTTTAACCCCAGCAGGGGAAAATCCAGCCCAGCGATAATTGATTACGGCTGTTGGCTGTCTTTTGATGAACTTTGGTAGAGGTGCAACTTCGTCCGCCAGGGCTGTTGAGTACGGTGGCAGATACACCAGCAATGGGTCTGAAGATGATACCTTCGCAATATTGTGCAGACTAATGATAATAGGTAAGAAAACGATACATGTACTACTCACTCAGCATCACATTCGGCTCGTTGACAAGGACTCACTCAACACTGATGTTACCAGAAGAGCCAACGCGAATGCTGACTCGTTCTACATCTTGGATCCCCGAAGAGGTTGTGCTTAAGCATCGGAATTTCTGGTGGCAAAGGCCTGCAACTCGAGCACTCCTAGCTATGAGCCATTTCCTCATCTTACACCTGCGGAGTCGCAATCATAGAGTCCCCAGGCGATTATCTCGAAAAGAGCTCTCTCTCGTATCATAGATGCGACAGGCCGAGTACGTAGCAGATCGGGATGCAAGGTATTGCCCTAAGCGCGTAATTGTGGTACCAAGGGACTGAAATGAAGCTAGACGCGTTCGTGCGATGAAATTGAATGAATATTGGCTGTGGCTGTGTTGGCGGCTTTTTAGTATGCAGATACGATGCTACCCACCACTGGGCAGCGAATTACCAGCACTGCCTACTATTCAGAATTCATACTAGTGTAGACTGCCTACGGTAATAACAATTTAGCGAAGATGTTAGCATGCGGGGAGCGCTAATCGTGTGGCATTCCAGGCCACCATCCCACTATCCAATGCTAATAAGCGACGTCATGTCACTGCACCCCAACATCAGTATATGCCGCCTGACCTCGAGCAAGATCGTCAAGGAAAGGGTCAACGATGACGATGGAGAAAGTTGAAGACATGCACATCTAGCGACGTCGTGAATAAGTTAACACAGTTCCGTTAAGTGGTGGCCTACATTCAATAATACCCTTCCTATCCTCTTCAACCGGAACAGCAAGCTTAAGCCACTACTCGTTATGATGTTATTTATATCGTACTCCTTATAGAAGCTTTCACCTATTACAATCTGTGGCCTGGCATGTTCAAGTGTCATCCTGGTTAAGATGAATGATGCAAATCTTAATGAAAATATCGGCGATCAGACACAGGCTGTCGATGGCACCGATCACGAGCAAATCGGCCACAATGCCATTATGAACGATCAGGTTCACCTCGATCCTAGGTAAGCCGATCTGCTGCCCTCTGGGACATCGTCACTTATACAGTTCGACTGTAGCCGATGGTGGTTCGCGTCGGCCGCGTTCCCCATGATAGCAGGCACTCTGGGCCCCGTTGCCTCAGCTTTCAGTATATGTGCCCTCGTGAAGAACTGGAGACAATATATCCCACCAGCTTCGGATGTCACCAAGGCCCTCTTCATAGAGGACCCGCCATGGCTCCTTGCGATAAATGGCGTCCAGCTCGTTATAGCTCTGGTTGCGAATATGTTTCTTTTACTGAACATGACGAAGCGAGTGCGGTTCTCGGTCGCGCAACCTATAACGATTACTGGTTGGTATATATCGGCCGTATGTCTTGTAGCCCTTTGCGCTACAGCGAGTGGGCCTCTACTCCTGCAGCCTGAATTCGAGTACGTCTGGTCTCAGGCCTTCTACTACGGGATGTATGCGGCTATCCTCTACTTCATCGTGGCGTCTCTGATGGTGATCACTGTCTGGGGTGCTGAATCCGGCCACTACGACAAGGACTTCGAGTTGACCGCCAGTCAGAGAACATTGATGCTTCAGACCATTTTGTTCCTTATGTACCTCCTCATAGGCGCTTTAGTTTTTTCCAAGGGTATGTATATAAACATATCGTTTTAAACCCCCGAACACTTGTTTCTCAGATTGTATCTCGAGTTCCTATCTGCAGCGGCTAATATATCGTAGTCAGTAGTAACATTATATTATTTCCCTTCAGCGTATTTTCCCGGGCTTCCGGGAAGTGTGGTGAACATCTCAGAGTGTTTGACTTCGGAAGCTAAAAACATGTCTTGACGCACAGATTGAGGGCTGGAACTACCTAGATGCTGTATACTGGGCGGACGTCACACTATTCACAGTGGGATATGGCGACTTCTATCCGGAAACAAACCTCGGCCGTGCCCTTCTCATGCCTTACGCACTCGTTGGTGTTATTAGCCTCGGTCTGGTGATTGGATCGATTCGCAGTCTCATGCTTGACCGAGGCAAACATAGACTCGATGCGCGAATGCTAGAAAAGAAGCGGCGCCGTCTGATCCGACGTATGACGCAGAAAGACAAGGATGGTATCCTGGAGCCTATCGATGGTGATATATCAGATGCTTTTCCCGAGTTGGCGTCGTCCAAGTTCCCTCGAACGGAATTCGAACGCCGACAGAAGGAGTTCCAACTCATGCGGAAGATCCAAGATCAAGTATCCAAGAGGAGGAGGTGGATAGCGATGGCTGTATCCACCACTACATGGGTTTTGCTCTGGCTTGTAGGAGCCAAAATTTTCCAGGAATGTGAAGCCCCGGTAAGCAACAACCGGAGTTATGTTCAACCCCTTATATCCTTTTATTCAAGACAGCTTTCCTGTAAGGGCACGTAGGAGGCTCTTTTGCCCCTAATTACTTTCCAAACTGTTTTGAATGAAAATTCGCTCATGTTAGATGCTGCAGTACCAAGGGTGGACTTACTTCGAAGCCTTCTACTTTGCATTCACAGCTTTAACAACTATTGGATATGGCGATGTCACTCCGGTGTCGAACTCAGCCAAGGCTTTCTTTGTCTTCTGGTCTCTGCTCGCCTTACCTACGATGACTGTTCTCATATCGCACGCAGGGGACACCGTCGTGAAGGGCATCAAAGACGGAACGCTAAAACTCGGGAATTTGACCATCCTGCCCGGTGAACACAGCTTCGAGAAAGAAACGAAGCAATTATTAGCAAAACTGTCCTGTGGAGCATTATTCACGATGGATGAGGACGTCGAAGAATCTCCACCCGGGTTTCTCGGAGCCGCTCAACCCCACTCAGATGAGGATTCCGATATGAGCGACAATGACAACTCAGAGAACTGCGGTCGAGCCAAGGCTGACGCTGACGGGGGAGAATCTGGCTCATCGCCGCCGTCGAGGCAAACTGCCCAGACCAAGAAGCGAGGCGGCACCTCGCGAAGTTCTAGAGCCAAATCGACGCCAAAGAAAGACGCGAAGCCAAAATCACCTGCCCGTGGCGCTTCCGCGACTAGGAAAGACGTGCCTACTGAACTACCTAAAACACGCGCCGAGTATCACCTCGTCTTAATCGACGAGATCGCACGTGTAACCAAGCACCTGCG